TCCAGGTGCTGGGCAGGGACCTGGGGAGGCCGCGTAGCCGTCTCTGCAGACGTGACCAACTCTGTCTCTGTTTCTTGTTCTCGCCTTCTCAGGTGGCTTGGCAGGCACCTGGGGAGGCCGCGTAGCTGTCTCTCCAGACGTGACCCACTCTGTCTCTGTTCCCTGTCTCACCCTCTCAGGTGGCTGGGAAGGCTCCGCCTCCTACAAGTTGACCTTTGTAGCAGGAGGTGCCATTGAGTTTGGGCAGCGGATGCTACAGGTGGCTTCTCAAGGTATGAGGCTCTGAAAATCGGGGCCAAGCACACCCTGCATGTGTGGGAGGTTTTTTTTGTTGTTTATTTGTTTGCGTTTCTTGATTCTTTATTTTGTTTTTTAAGCACTCAGAAGATAAGTCTCAGGCCTGGGCTGGCCGGGCTGGGAGTCAGAAGGAGGCCTGTCATTAGCATCAGCTCCGTCCTTGGCCTCAAAGGCTGGGTGCCCCTTGCCTGGAGCATGTTTATGGCATTTTGACAAAGCTGTTCGGACACAAGGACATTATAGCAGGGTCTTATACAAAGAAACAAAAAACCCAACCATTAAATGTGGGCAGTGTATCCAGCAGACTCTCACCTCATCCCGACCCTCACCCAGCTGCTCCTTTACTCTCCTCCCTCTGTCCGTCCTCCACCCCTGCTCCGGTCCCCTCTGTCCACCCTCCACCCTCACCCCCACCCCCTCTGTCCACCCACTACCCTGCTCTGGACCCCTGTGCCTGCCTTTCACTCCTGCCTTAGATCCCTCTGTCCACTCTCAGCCCCCACTCCCACCCCCTCTGTCCACCCACTACCCTGCTCCGGACCCCTCTGTCCACCCTCCACCCCTGCTCTGGACCTCTCTGTCCACCCACTACCCTGCTCCGGACCCCTCTGTTACCCTCCGCCCCTGCCCTGGCCCCCTCTGTCCACCCTCCACCCCTGCTCCGGACCCCTCTGTCCACCCTCCACCCCTGCTCCGGACCCCTCTGTCCACCCTGGACCCCTCTCCCACGTCTCTGGCCTATTTCCCAGCCTCACCCTCCATCCTGCTCTTCTCCCTGCCAAGGCTGCCTCAGGAGTGGGATGGGGTGAGGGCCGTCTGCTGTGCACTTTCCCAGACCCTGCAGCTCCCCCTCAGCCCCCGCGGCAGGCGACGCTCACGTCTCTCTCCCCTTGTGCTTGTAGCCTCCCGAGGTGAAGCCCCCAGTGGAGCCTATGGGTACTCTTACATGCCCAGCGGGGCCTATGTCTTTCCCCCGCCTGTCGCCAATGGAATGTACCCCTGCCCTCCTGGCTACCCCTACCCACCGCCCCCACCTGGTGAGTGTCCTTTGTTGCCCACCCCTCACCCCACCCACCCACCCACAGACCACGCCCACCCAGGCCAGGGGGTTGTCAGGGAGACTTGCTTTTGGACCTGCTTCAGGAAAAATGGAGAAGCTGGCCAGGCTGAGGAACTGGGCTGTGTGTGCGGCTCTAGGGGCAGCCTTCCGTAGGGAGTGGAGCCGGGGTATTCACTGGGTCCCTGTCACTCTCTTGCCAAGCAGAGTTCTATCCAGGACCCCCCATGATGGATGGGGCCATGGGATACGTGCAGCCTCCACCACCGCCCTATCCTGGGCCCATGGAGCCTCCGGTCAGCGGCCCTGACGTCCCCTCCACTCCCGCGGGTAAGGCCCTGGGCTGTTGGCTCCTGCAGTCCTCCAGACCAGCTCTCTCCTCCCTGCGGGCACACACAGGGCTCAGAATCGCAGCAGGCTGGCTGGAGTCTCATGTGATGAGCAAGCCCCAAGGGACTTGCCTAAGTTTAGGGCAGGACACGTGATCAGATGAGGCAGTGCCATGGGGCGATGAAGGGCGCAGGTCCAGTCCCCACTCTCCCGGTGCTCGCCACCAACGCCTCCCTGCTGTATCTCTTTCCTAAACTACAAAACAGATGATAACGGGTTAGAGTCGCCGGGTGGTGCCGACGGTTCCCTCTCAGCTGCGAACCGAAAGGTGGGAGGCTCGAGTCCAGTCAGAGGTGCCTTGGAAGGAAGGTCTGGTTGCCTGCTTCCAAAAACCAGCCGCCACAGCCAGGTGGAGCACAGTGCTGCTCTGACGCGGGCGGGGTTGCCATGGAGTCAGCCCGTTCAACGGAACCTGGCAGCTCACGGTTCCGGAGGGTCGTGCGGAGGAGCAGGTGATGGGAGACACACAAAGAGACAGGCAGGGTCACTGTTTAGTAATCATTGGCAGGTTTCACTGTGTTTCTGTGGTTGGGGCCGGCTCCCTGAGCATCAGGAGACCAGGAGTCGGGGCCAGTCCTCCCACCCTGGGCCGAGCTCGTGGGGAGAGGGGCTTGTCGCCTGGGCTTGTTACACTCATTGTTGGCTTTTGTGCAGCCGAAGCCAAAGCTGCGGAGGCAGCTGCCAGCGCCTACTACAACCCGGGAAACCCACACAACGTCTACATGCCCACAGTGAGTCAGGGCGCATGGTGCTGGGGGCCTGGGACCTGGGGCGGGGGAGAAGGTGTCCACAATGTCTATACGCCCACAGTGAGCCAGGGCACATGGCGCTGGGGGGCCCTGGGGTGGGGGAGAAGGCATCTTGTCTTGAACCTTCTCATGTGGTCTTGTCTTCTTCAGAACCAGCCGCCGCCACCTCCGTACTACCCCCCTGAAGACAAGAAGACCCAGTAGACCCTTCACACCAGCCTGCATCCCACCACTGATTGCTCCTTCCCACCCCTCCCCTGGGGCCAAGTCTGGGGCTGGGGGAGGCATGGGGAGGAATGCTGTTCTTCCTCCAGTTTGGATGATAAATAGCAAGAACTAGCCTTGGGGGGCCCTTGTCTGTGGAAAGGTGCCTCTCAGCTTCCCGCGCTAGCTCAGAGCCCATGGGCACTGTCAGCCGAACTTCCCTCTCCATTCTGGGGCACACTTCAGGACATCGGGGTGTCCCCCTTGTTCCTGTTTCACTGAAATAACCTTCTCCCCAAGGAGGGACTCTCTGGCCACCTCCTCCATCCCAGTCCAGTCTTGGTTGCCGCTTCACACGCGCAACACAGACCAGTGTTGTGTCTTCCAGGCCTGGAAGGGAGTCCAGCCCCTTCCCCGGTGGCCCCTGCCAGGCCTCGCCCACATTCCCTCCGCTGGTCTGGCCCTGGCTGTGGGAGGCTGTAGTCCCACCCACCGTTGGCCCACATTGCGTTCCCGGCCCGGGCTCAGCTCTGGTCATACCTCCTCTTTCCCATCCTGTCCTTGTCATGCTTTGCCACCTCTCAGTGGCTGCCTGGGCTTGGGTGGCATCAGGCCAAGGCTGCAGCGGGTGGGAGAATGCCCCTCTGGTCATATTTCTGGAATTTTTCCCTGGCCTCTTCACATCTCTCTCAGAAGGGGCTGCTCGCACTGGAACTGGGGAGTGCATGTCCATCCCATCCTGCCCCCAGGGGCTGCGAGAAGGGCCCCTGACTGCTGGGGCCCGGCCTGTGCCAGCCTGGCTGTCCCTTCCTTTCTGCTTCCTGCCTGGTTGGTGATACTCCCCCAATGCACTAAAATTTGCTCATTCACACTTGGACTGGCCCTGAAGCGAGAAGATGGTATTTAAAGAGAACGCCCTATTTATTTGACAAAAATCCAGTTAATATATTAATGTGAAATAAACCCCGTTTGCACCTTGATTTGTTTGCCGAAAATGTGAAGTAGTAAAAATGAAGTAACGATGCTTCCTGGCTGTGTGTGGTGACGAGGACAGCTTTGGGGAGGAGCCGTCTGGCTGCTGATGGCTGGAGGCGGCTAGGGCGGCTCCTGCCCTCCCAAGGGAGAGTCCTGGGTTCTCAGGCCCATCTGGTCCCCACAGAGATGAGGCCTTGCCTCATCTGGCCCCCTGCCTTCTGTCTCCATTCCCATAGGAGTTGCTCAGCAACCGGGCCCCGCCCAGAGTTTCCTGGGCGGTACCAGGAAGAGTGTGGCAGAGCCCAGGAGGGGCCTGGCCGGGATACTGTTGGAGGCAGGGGTCTGGCAGTGCTGCTGGCTCACTGCCCTCCCTCCCTTCAGTCCTCCTGGACGTGCAGACCCGGTCTCAGGCCCGGTGTCTGAGGGAGGAGGCGGCTGACACCCTCTGGAGCGTGTCGGGAATGGAGTGCTGGCCACTGGGCCTTCGTACCACCCTCATAAGCCTGCCCCAGGGGCAGGGGAGGGTGGGACAGACTCCATGCTCAGGCCTGGACCCCCCGGCACTGGCACGGGGAGGCCCTGGGTCTCTGGGGAAGTACAGCACTGAAGTATCCACTTCCTGTCTCTTCTGGAGCGAGCTGGCCCCTTGGGAGGGATGAGGTAGTGCTGTCGCCAGCCCTTCTGGGCAGCCCTGGCCAGGAGCTCTTGGACTTGACTGAACCCCCACAAGGGCATTTGAAGGGAGCATGGTGTAGGGGCTGGGGCCGCAGGGCCAGCCCAGCCCTGTCACTGTCACTGCAGAGGAATGTCACCTGTGGGGTGCAGCAGGCTGAGCAGTCACTGCCTGCTGGGGAGACGCCTCTCTGGAGCCCCACCCCCCCTTGCACCCTCACCCTGCTCAGGCTTGTTCAGGGAAAAGGGGGACGTGCCCCCCACTGGCCCGGGTCAGCTTACCCAGGGCCAGCCTGGGCACTACCTCCAGGGGCAGGGACGATGCCCACAGGCCCCCGGTGCCCCCTGCTGGGAGTGCGGGACCTTCCCCAGGGCCTCTGCGGAGGGGGTGGACCAGTCCCGCCCCATAGGTCCACCTTCCCTCCAGCCCTGAGCCTTCCTGGTGGGATCCTCCCAAAGGAGGAAGGCATAGGAGACCTGGGCCTGGCTCCGCGGTGGGGAGTCTTGACCCTGCTGCCACCCCCACCCTCTCCCCGCCTGCCCTCCCCGCCCTGGCAGAGGTGGCAGCCCGGGGGCTCTTTGCATAATCCTGCGGCTTCACTGTCTTCACCCTGTGGCAGCAGGAACAGCCGAGGGGAAGGGCAGAGCCGGCCACCATGGCGACATTCTTCTTCCAGTCCCACAGGCGACCTCCCCTCTTGCGCCAGGCAATCAAGATAAGACGGCGCAGAGCCCAAGATGTGCAGGACTGCCTGCCCCAAACGGTTCAAGAGGTAGGAGTGACCTCGCCCGCCCTCAGGGAGGACAGTGACCTGGGTGGGGCTCTGTGCTCTTGGTCTCCGGGTATGGGAGCGGCTATTGGGCCCCACCTCTCCCTGAGGGCCTGGCCCGAGCTCCCCTGCCCCCCACCCTGCCTTCCCAGAACCCTGGGGTCAGTGAGCGGTGTGGGCGGTGTGGGCCACGTGTCCCCTGGCCTCAAGTCAGGGGCTGAGTGTCTGCCCACCCCACCCGAGGCAGGCTGACCCCTCCATCCAGGCTCCTCTGTGTCCAGAAGGACTGGCCCCATTGCATAGGGTTCTCCTGCTGCAGGGTGGGCTGTGTGGATATCAGCCAGCAGCCCCCCCAGTCTCCCACCTCTGCAGCTGGGCCTCACTTCCGCCACGGGGTGAGGACGGCCCGATAACAGCGCTGTTTCCTCTGGGGAAGGAAGGAGGGAGGGGCACGGGTGCAGAGACCTCACGCTAGGGTAACTGAGCACCGATGGACCCCAGCCATGACAGTCCCGGGGACAAGGAGGTGGACTCGTGGGACAGACCCCCGGGAGGGTTGCTGTGGGAACAGGTGCAGGACCCTGGGGGGCTGAGGCCGGGATGCTGGGGCTCCCGCTGCCCTGTGCTGGCCTCTGAGGAGGACTTCCTGCCTGTGGGCCCTGGTCCCAGCCTCCCAGGACACCTGCAATTTCATCTTGCTCCCCAGGCTGATCCACCGTCACACCACCTCTCACCCGAGGAGGTAAGAGGCAGGTTGGGGGGACGAGGCAGTGCTGGGGAGCTGCTGTAGGTCCCCCTGAAGCCCCCTCAGCAGCTGGCCAAGGCCTGGGGTGGCGGCTCGGCGGGAGGTGGGAACTTCTGGGGCTTGGCCCACTCCCTTCACAGAGGCCTCGTCCCTGCTCTGGGGCTGGGGCCTCAGTGCCAGGGGCAAGTCCTGAGGTCACCTTGCTGCATCTCAGCGGATCCTGCTCTATGAGGAAGCGCTCTACACGGTCCTGCACCGCCTGGGCCAGCCGGAGCCCAACCATGTAACCGAGACCTCTGAGCTGCTGCGGTACCTGCAAGAGGTGAGCCAGCCCCCGCCCCACCCACCACGCCTCCAGCCCAGCCGTGCACAGGCACCCACCCGCCCTCGCCTCCCACCAGGCCTTCCATGTGGAGCCGCAGGAGCACCAGCAGATGCTGCAGCAGACCCGGGAGCTTGAGGTGACCTGGGGGTGAGGGTGGCGGGGCCTGAGGAGGGGTCCAGGAAGGCCAGCCCCTCCGGTACTCAGGCCCCCCTTCCGGTCCCTCCAGAAGCCCATGTTCTTTCTGAAGGCCACAGTGAAGCAGGCCAAGGGCATTCTGGGAAAGGATGTCAGTGGTGAGTGGGGCCAGGGACTCCTTCCTCCCCCACCACAGTTGGGAGCCCTCATCTCCCAAGAGGCCCCCAGGGCCTACCTGCAGCCCCCAGGTCCCTTGAGTCTGGGAAGAGGAGAGGCTCTGGCCCCCTCCCCAGCAGGAGGCTTAGCCCCCAGGAGGTGAGAGCCGTGAGGGAGCTCCTAGCAGGCCCAGCCAACTCCTTGGCTCCCTGGCTGCTCCCCAGGGTTCAGCGACCCCTACTGCCTGCTGGGCATCGAGCAGGGTGTGGGCGTGGCCGGGGGCAGCCCCGGGGCCCGACGGCGGCAGAAGGCTGTGGTGAGGGACACCATCCCGGAGGAACAGACGCACCGGACCCAGGTCATCAGCCAGTCACTCAACCCCGTCTGGGACGAGACCTTCATCCTGTACGTCGTCCATGCCGCTCCCCTTGCCTGGGGTTAATGTCAGTGTGGGCTCTTAACCAGGATAAAACAGCATCTGGGGGAAGGCCTGGGCACTGGTGGAAGACAGGAGAAGGGCCCTGCTCTCGCGGCTTGGTAGACAGACAGCTGGCCAGACGGGACAGACAAACGACAGGCTGGGCAAGGAGAGTTGAGGCCTGCCTGGGTTAGTCTAGGGGTAGCTTGAAGCTTCAGCTTATAGGAGGACGGGATGTGGTTGCAGGCAGGAGCTTGATGGGGAGGGGCTAGGGCTCCATGGTGGGTGATAACTGGGGCAGGCTCTGGGCTGGACGGGTGTATGGCTTGGTGGGGGACTGCCACTCCAAAGCTCTCACGGTGCTCTGTTCTCCCACAGGGAGTTTAAGGACATCGCCCATGCCAGCTTCCGTCTGGACATGTGGTGGGTGACGTTCCCCACCACAGGGACAGAGGAGAGAAGGGCGAGGGTGTCAGGGCCTCCTCCTGGGAGGGGCCATGGGTCCTAAGGATGCCTTCTCTGCCTCCTGCTCAAACTGCTGCCCGCCAGGGACCTGGACACAGTGGAGTCAGTCACACAGAAGCTAGGGGAGCTGACGGACCTGCATGGCCTGCGCAGGTGAGTGCCAAGGGCTCCAAGGAGGACAGGACTCTGCCTGCCCCAGGACTCCTTCTGTACAAGGCTCTGTCAGGACTGTCCTGATTGTCCCTCCTCCAAACCCCTTCCTGGGACAGGATCCTTAAGGAGGTCCGGAAGGACAAGGGCCAGGATGACTTTCTGGGGAGTTTGGTTCTGAGGCTGCAGGTGAGGGGGTGGGGCAAGGGGGCTGGGAGAGGGGTGAAGGGTGCTGGGGAGGGGCCCCAGCCTGCACCAGGGGAGCCTGGGCTCAGCCTCTCATGGCCGTCCCTGCTCCGGACATGGTGCAAGGCCCAAGCTGCTCCTGGGCGGGGGCTTCTCCTGTCTGCCCACACCCCCAGGACCTGCGCTGCCGTGAGGACCAGTGGTACCCTTTGGAGCCCTGCACAGAGACCTATCCGGACCGTGGCCAGTGCCACCTCCAGTTCCAGTTCATCCATAAGCGGGTAGGTCTGTGGTCTGGGCCAGGGGCCTGGCTGGGCCGGGGAGAACCGGCTGCACCCAGGCCGGGGTCCTCTCTGCTAACAGCCCTGCCTGCCCCTTGCAGAGAGCCACCAGGGCCAGCCGCTCGCAGCCCAGCTACACGGTACATCTCCACCTTCTGCAGCAGCTTGTGTCCCATGAGGTCACCCAGCACCAGGTAGGGCCCTCCCAGGGCTGGGCAGGGCCAGGGCCTACTGTCTGGCCTGACGCCCCTCCACCCATCTCCCTCAGGCAAGTAGTACCTCCTGGGACGGGTCACTGAGTCCCCAAGCTGCCACCGTCCTCTTTCTCCATGCCACGCAGAAGGACCTGTCTGACTTCCACCAGTCCCTGGCGTGAGTACACAGCCCTGCCTGGACCACCTGGGTGGTCGTACGTGCAGTTGCTTCCCCCTCTCACCCACCTGCCCTCCCTGTGGGCCAGCCACTACCAATTGACAACCCAAAGTCCAGCTGTCAGGAGAGCACTCCTTGGCCCAGGAAGGAGGCTTTAAAAACAGATTACAATACAGGTCGATTATCCTCACAGAGCACTGGCACGGCAGGGCCGTCCTTCTGCTGGCCTGCACCCATCCAGCACAGTCACCGCTGGTACTTTCTGCCCAGTCATTCTGGACATGAGTTTGCCACCCTGCCCCCAGCTCCTACTTCCTGAGGCCACAGCCTTCAAGTCACTGATGTCAAGTACCAGCTGAGGGCTCTGCATACCCTCCCTGCCACATTAGATTCTGGCCATGCCAAGAAGGGGCACACGTTACTCGCTTTATTTGCACAGACGGTGCATGGAGGAGAAGCAGAAAGAGGGCAGGGCGAGAGCGCCCAGTGTTGCCTCGGGCCACGGCTGACACCTGGTGTGTGAGTGGAGGGAGGCCAGGGAAGGACACTCCAGGGGCCGGACAACGTGTGTGCCTCTGGGCAGTAGACAGGGATGGAATCTGGTTTGTCCAGGCAGGTAGCCCAGGTGGCAGCTGTGTCCTGATGGGGACTGGGCTTGTCCCTGCACTCTCTTCTGCCCCATCCTCCTTTGGCCTCCCTCTCAAGTCTCCAGTCTCAGCTCAGTGGACACCTCCGTGAAGCCTTCCTTGAACTGTCTGAAGTAGAAAATGCTAGATGATTTTGTGTTCGTGAAGGCTCAAATGTCCAAACCTGCTGTTGTAGAAGCAACACCCAATCCTAACAGTTTCAAATGACAGATGTCCTAAAGCAATCCTGAATTCAGTGAGAGTCAATGCGAATGTAAAAGATTGGTGATTAATTTACAGTTTTGAAAAGCACCTTGTGGGAATAAGCAAACAAAAGCCTGCAAGCCTCCGCCTCTGCTGGCCGAGGGGCACCTGCAGGAGGCGCTGGGCAGCCATGGTGCCGCCCCTCCCGCCCCAGCCCCGGCGAGCAGTGCCATTCTGTCTGCTGCAGGCAGTGGCTGGCTTACAGCCGTCTCTATCAGAGCCTGGAGTTCCCCAGCAGCTGCCTCCTGCACCCCATCACCAGCATTGAGTATCAGTGGATCCAGGGCCGGCTCAAGGAAGAACAGGTGGGCTTGGCTGGGCAGATAGGTGGGAGCGGGCTGGGGAGTATCAGAGGCTGCCGGGCCCCTAAACCTGCTCCATCCTCACGGCGACTGTCTGTGCTGGCAGCTGGAGGAGCTGGCTGCCTCCTTTAGCTCCCTGCTGGCCTATGGGCTCTCCCTCATCCGGAGGTTCCGCTCCGTCTTCCCCCTCTCCGTCACCGACTCCCCAGCCCGGCTGCAGTCTCTCCTCAGGTAGGTGGCTTACCCTTCTGCGGTGGGTCGGGGAAGGGGAAGCGGATCCGGGGACATCTACAAGGCCAGGAGCAGGAATGGGCAGTGGGCGTGCTGGACACGGCCTCTGTCTCCATAGGGTCCTGGTGCAGATGTGCAAAATGAAGGCGTTCAGAGAACTGTGTCCCAACACGGCCCCACTGCCCCACCTGGTGACAGAGGCCCTGCGGGTATGGTGCCCACCCTGGGAACTGGCAGGACGCGGCCCTGCATCTGGCGGCCCCACCCTGCTCACTGCCTCTTTCCCTGTAGAGCGGCACCGTGGAGTGGTTCCATATGAAGCAGCAGCACCATCAGCCCATGGTGCAGGTCAGGGGCTGGGGCAGCTGTGCTGGGGTGCGGATGGGTGGGTGGGCGTGGGACTTGGGGGTGGGGGGGTCTGGCCCAGCAGCCCTGCTCAGCCCCCCTTGGTGCCCACCAGGGCCTGCTGGAGGCGGCCAAGGCCTTGCTGGGCCTGGTACAAGATGTCACTGGTGACCTGCACCAGTGCCGGCGCACCTGGAACAAGATCTTCCACAAGTGAGTGGGGCAGGGGCTCATGGCTGGGACCAGAGGCACCTGGGGGCTGCACCGTGCACTTTCTTCAGCGTCCTCAAGATTGCCTTTCCTTCAGCGTCCTCAAGATTGACCTCTTCTCTACGGCTTTCCAGGAGCTGCAGTGGCTGGTGAGTCCCTGCGCCGGTCCCTGGCTGGGCCCTGCTCGCCCTGGCTCTGGGCCCTGCTCACCCGCCTTTGCACGCAGGTGGCCAAGCGAGTGCAGGACCATACGGTGGCTGTGGGCGGCCTGGTGTCCCCCGAGATGGGCGAGAGTCTGTTCCAGCTCTACATCAGCCTCAAAGAATTCTGTCAGCTGGGCCCCAGCCCCTCGGCGAGGTGGGCTGCAGGCCGGGCGGGCGGGCCAGGAGCGCGCTGGCGGCGGTGGTCGTGGAGGGGCCCAGGCCTGTGCCTTGTCCGCTGAGCCCCGGCTCTCCTCAGTGGTGGAGTCCTGGCCCTGGATGGCTTCCACCGCTGGTTCCGGCCGGCCATACCCTCCTGGTTGCAGAAGTCGTACAGTGTGGCCTTGGCGCGGGTGCAGCGTGCCGTGCAGATGGACCAGGTGGGAGTGGCGCTGGGCCCACGCAGGGGGAGGCCTGGGACAGAAGGAGCTAGGCCTGGAGCGGGGCAAAGCTGGAGCCGGGCAGGAGAGGGCTAGGGGTTGGGTGGGACCGGGCCAGGCCAAGAGCTAGGGGCCCCATCCCATGTCAAGGTTGCAGTAGAAGCCGGAAACCAGCCCTGGGTGCCACCTCTGATAGTTCCTGAAGCCAGTTTGCAAATGTCTGCATCTTTATATTCTTGGGATTAACTTTACTGACAGCCCCATGGCCCAGGGGTCTGGTCCTCTGTGTAATGCCCCCCCCCCCC